TCTATCTATCTATCTATCTATCTATCTATCTATCTATCTATCTATCTGACTTAATAAATTAAATTGATAAACAATATTGCTATGTAGAGCCCCTAGATATCTTATAGAAAGGTACTAATATATTATAATGATAAATGCCATTTATATGATTATAAAAAGTTTGCAAAGCAGTTTATATGCATTATCTCATCTTTGTATCCCAGCATTTAGCACTTTGCTTGGCACATAGTAAATGCTTAAAAAATGTTTGTTGATTTACTGACACTCATATTAATCCTGAAAAGTATCATTATTCCCATCTTACAGATGAAGGAACTGAGGCTCAGAAAGGTTACTTGTTCATGGTTGCATAACTAGTAAGTAACCATTGAAAGGATTTGAACTGAGGTCTTCCTGATTCCAAGTCCGCATTCTATCCACTATGTCACACTTCTCAACACAAATTAGTATGATGGTTGTGTTGCATACTAACATGCACTTTTCACCGACATCTTGGTTTCGTGTAAACAAAAATTAAGGACTGAATGAAAAGCATACCACAAAAGACATGGCTTGAGAATAAAAGAACATAAATTGTACATTACATTGTACCCCCTGAAATTTAAATGTTACATGAAGGAAAGTCATTTTAAAAATGGTCAGCCTATGCTATGATCTCCTAATAATAGATGTTACTAAAGCTCACTTTGAAATTGCTAAGTATATGGTAATTAGGTTCAGACAAATCATTAACAAGAAGAACGAGCTGCTGTTTCTTTAGTACTTTACAATTTACAAGTAGCTTTATATGCATTATTTCAATGTATCCTCCCAACAACCCAATGAGTCAAGTATTAGTCTATTTTACAGAGAAGGAAACTGGGGAATGGAATGACCTGCCCAAGATCACACAGGAAAGAAATGGGAAAACCAAAATTCAAACTCTGATCTTGAGAATCTGAATTTGGTGCCCCTTCAACTACACCAACTATTGTCTTTAGTGGGCAACTATTTATAAATAGCAGTTTTTTAAGCATGAGATGTTATTTGGACTTATTTTCAAATGTCCAAACAGAATCCCATATTGTTTCAAGAGGTAGAACCGGTATTTCCAGTCACGGAAAATGCTTTTCTCTATTACTTCTCAGAGCAGCCTAAAGAAGGTGATCAAGGACGACATGGAAAAGCGCCCATGGGGAAGTTCACTGTCAGCTCCCAGGTGACAGAATCATTTCCTCTTAGAGTAGTCATTCTTATACTTTCCCAACCAAATTTGATCTTTAAAAAAAAAAAAACCCATGCAAGACAAATTCATTATGTTTTAGTAAAAGAGTAAACTGGATGTTTTGCCCCTTGTGAAGCCCAAGTCCATAGAACAAAGAAGATACAATTAAATGTTTTCAATATGCCTTTGTTTTTTTAACGGGATGTCTATGGAAATTTCCTACTTATATGACTTTAATAGTCACTTCTTTACAGTCTGGATAATAGTAATTGATCCAACTCTCAATGAATTATTTTGTGGATTATTTGTGGCTAAATTTTAATAGTAGATCGGCTTCATACAACTATCTAGCACAGATCGCCTCTATTGGTTTCTCAGGTTATGTATACTTAAGATAAGAAAATTAGTTTTAATACCCATTTAAGAAAAATGTAATTCAGAAGGTAAATCTTACAAGAGGAAGAGACTCTCAAAGATTAATGGTATGCGCTACTTTAGTCAGAAACAATCTGAACTCCTGTCCCTTACCCTCAGGAGGTATAACTTAGATTTGACTATGCTTGGGTAAAGTGGGGGAAACAGCCTAGGGAGGCTCAAAGAACCTAGACTTAAACTCAGAAGACTTGGGTTTGAGCCCCAGTTCTGACAAGCGATAGCCCTAAAAGTGTTGGCAAATAAAGTAAGTAACTTAGTAAAAAGTAAGCTTCCTTGAGCCTCAATCACTCATCTATAACATGGAAATAATAACATTCCCTCTGCACAACTCACAGAGTTGTGAAAAGAGTGCTCTATAAACCACAAAGCAATACAGCAATATGAACTGTTATAACTTTCCATCTATTCAATATTTTGGCCCCAAATGCTCTGTGGACAGTATCTAATTTCCTCTCATTTTTTTTTTTGTTTTTGTTTTTGTTTTTCAGGCAATTGGGGTTAAGTGACTTGCCCAGGGTCACACAGCTAGTAAGTGTCAAGTGTTTGGTCTGAGTCCAGATTTGAACTCAGGTCCTCTTGAATTCAGGGCCAGTGCTCTATCCACTGCACCACTTAGCTGCCCTCATATTTTTTCTATGCTACATAGGGTATATGCTATTTTGGGGGGAGGAAAAAACCCTTAATGTGGAGAAACCATACCCAAGCTGATGATACAGAACATTGGTGGCAGAATTAGGCCTAGAAGTGAAATTCCCAACCCAGAGCACCCACTTTAGTGCCCAACTATGCTTATCCCATGCAGGATGTTGACCTGAATGTTCAAATTCCATCACCAGCAAAATATGATAAAAGTGCCCAGTAGTGGAAAACTAACCTCTAGCAGTATTAGATTAGTCTGTTTTCAGGAGGTAATGCTTCTTCAATGTTTCACATAAGAAAACAAACACTCTAAGGAGGTGGAGTTCGAGACCATTATTACTGTCAGAGTAAGATGCAGCAGGAGGGTAAGTGTGCCATAAGGAGACCTGGGAGATCTGAGATAAGCAAAAGAACAGAGTGAAACACAGAAATACAAGAGTGATCAAAAGCAAGCAGAGAAAGAGAACTAGCAGAGACCAAAGATATAAATTAATGGAAGATAAAGGTAGTCAGGCAGCCTAAAGAAAGAAAAATGAAGTCTGAGGAACTCAGAGAGTGAGTGAGGAATTTACTTAAAACTCATTGTGTCCTATACTGTGCATAATACTAATCAATCAAAAATTATTAAGCACCTCCTACGTGTCAGGTGGGGCCCGGTGCTAAGTACTAGGGGTGTAAAAAAGAGGCAAAAGATAGTCCCTGCCCTCAACGAGCGGAACACACAAATGATCTGGTCCTTGCCTTCAAATATCCACCAAGTTAAGCTCAAGAGAAAGTTAGAGGGGAGAAAGCTGTGAGGTTTTGTTAAAATTACATTCTTCATCCAAGTTTACTCTCAGTGATTCTATTTTGGCCTCATTTCTAACATGTGATCAGCATACCTAGGAGTCTGATGACATTGGGGTGGTCAAAGTCTTTCATGCAGGCCGCTTCACTGAGAAATTCTTCTATCTCACTCTGGGAAAAGTTGTCCACTGAAAAAGAGTTGAAAAAAACCAGAGATCAAAGTTATTTTACCTGGTTACAGGGTGGGGGACAAAGAAGAAGCATTTTTTACCCTCCAAAAATGCACTTTGACTTGTTCCCTATTATTTTTTTGTCTGTGCTAACGACACAATTCAACGAACTTAATCAACATTTGTTCAATGTCTGCTAGATACAGACAGAATGGTAGGCAATGAGAGCCATACCCTATCCGCAGGAGCTTGTCACTTATTTGGGCAGAGGAGAAAAATGTAAAAGTACAGAATTTTCTTTTATTTCACAGACTTTTTTCAGGGTTTGAAGGGACCTCAGTGGCCATCTGTTCTAAGGAACAGAACTGAAAAAGAATCCCCTTTATAACATTTCCCATCCCTGCTTGTAAATAAACCCAAAATAACATGCGCCAGATATATAACAAAGGTGAAGAGTTCTCAGAAGTGTCAAGAAGGGAAAGGCCATGTCCTTCTGTCTTGGGGAAGGGGAAGAAGGGGGTAGAAACCATAGAAAACTTCATGGGACAGCTAAAATTTGAGCATGGCCTTAAAGGATGCAGAGGATTCCAAAAATGTTGTGTTAAACAAGGGAGTATTTCCCCATTCAGAGGGTCAGAGGCTCAATTTTTTAAAGCTATTTGAAAAGCTATTTAATTCAATTTCCAGGAATTAAATCAACTTAGCAGTGGTATTCTTAAAGCTATAATGACCAACAATTTTTTCAGCAGCTCTGTCCATAATTTATTACTCCCTTTTACCCACTTTTCCTTCTGACAACCTCAGCTATGCCAAAAGAATATACTGCTTTCCCACAGGCAAACACATGGAGAGTATACTCACAAATCTAAATTAAAAATCATAAAAAGGAAAGGAGAGATTAATATGTGCTTCAGGACCAGTCCATATTTATTTGGCTACAATTAGAAACAAATTTTGCTACTAGTTAATAAAACAGATCACTCCTTTTTTATTGCAATAGATTTCCAGGTAATAGATGTATAGGCATAAAAGGCACCTCTTACATTTTGGTTTGTCTTCTCATGCCCGATTAAGATAGTGTCCTACTTTGAAAGAATCTAATTTGCCTTTCAACTTTGATTAAAAATACCACAGAACATCTGCGGTGAGTTAATAAAGACACAAGAGTGAAGAAGGTATTAATAGTGGGCCCATTAAAAGCACTACAATAGCAGGCTTCACAGTTTTCTTTATGAGCCTTGATGAAATTTTTTAAAATAAAATATATCATCTTATTATATATTACTAACAGTATTGTTATTTTGAAATACAATAACATAATCACGGTATGTGCAAAATATTGAAAGACCCAGAAAAAGGCCTTTACTATGTTGGGTAGATCAAAATGGAGGATTTATGGAAAGACATGGGTAAGAATCACACAGGATAAGAAGGGATGGATTGGTTTTAATCAGTAGAAGGAAGCTCATACAAATGTGATCATAGATCCACTGAAGCACTGGAATATTGATCCCAGGATGCTGAAGCCATTGATTGATTGGTAATCTTGGGCCGAGCAAGTACCTAAACACTTCTGGCAGGGAGAGGGCCATGCCTAGAATCCTTAGGATTAGAAATGTCAGGGCTACTTGAAAATTTCTTCCCTCACCTCCCAATCTCTCCCTCAACAGCAGAACGTCCCCCAGCCCTTCTTCACTCTTCCAAGCAGACTCTTTACTTGTGTGATCAAACTAGGACCACTGAAGGCGGCAATCCCCACCACACATATTCCCACAATACATAAGACAAAAACACCCCATTGCCCACAGTATTTATGCTTGCCTAATGGGAACTTACACTTCATGGTTTTTACTGCTACTTTCTCAGACGTTCCATCCTGTTTATTAAGATTTCCTTCCACTACAGACCCAAACTCTCCTAGAAAGTAAAACAACAGTTTATATTAACCCTGCACAAAATTACATCACAAATACAAGAGACCTAAAAAAGCATCAAAGCAATTTTTGCCGATTTGGTTAAAAGCATTAACACACTCAAAGTAGGCAGAGATTAACACATTACTCCATACATGTTATGTTTAATAGGACCATAGGATTAAGAGCTGGAAAGGACCTTAGAGATCAGTCAGTAAATATTTATTTAGTGCCTACTGTGTGCCAGGGACTGTACTAAGCACTGGGGATGCAAAAAGAGACAAAAGATAGTCCCTACCCTTATGGAACTCACAATCATTATAATGATCAATTCATTCAGTCTCCTCATTTTATAGATAATGATGCTGAAGTGCAGAAATGTGAGTGATTTGCCTTAGTTCATATAGTCAACAAGTGCAAGGTTGGGACTTGACCTAGAACGTCAGTTCTCTAAGTGTGGTCTGGGAAACCTGAGGTGCCAGAGGCCTTTCTGGAGGTCTGCAAGGCTAAAACAATTTTCATAATAATATTAAGAGGCTATTTGCCTATTAAAATACTCTTCCCTTTCCCAATTATATATCTGTGTGAGGCCAGATTTTCTTCATACACTTTAATTAAAACAACATATTGCAGGGGCAGCTAGGTGGCACAGTGGATAGAGCTCTGGTCTTGGAGTCAGGAGGATCTGAGTTCAAATCCAGCCTCAAACACACAATACTTACTAGCTGTGTGACCCAGGGCAAGTCATTTAACCCCATTGCCTAGTCAAACAAAAAACAAAAAACAAAAAAACCCCCAACATACTGTAACGTATTGAACATAGAAGCAGATAGGAGAATCTACCTCTCTTCTAATAAGCCAGACATAAAGAGATATGCAAAAAGAGGCATAACAATGCCATACCCTTTGCTAATTTTTTTGTTTTGGAAAATATAGTTATTTTCATTAAAATATATTAATATAAGTAGGTTTATTATTATTTTAAAAGTAATTTAAAAACACATTGGTTTTAATTTTTAATATGATAAATATTGGTAGATACAAACCACATTAACAAAAGCTCTTTGGGGTCCTCAATGATTTTTAAGAGGGTAAAAGGGTCATGAGACCAAAAGTCTGAGAACCATTGACTAAAACCACTGAAATTCAGGTTTAGTGTACCTTCCATTTATAACTTTATGCTACTTCTATCCGCCCCCCCCAACTGAAAGCTATGATTTGCTAGATAAGGAGGAATACTACTTTTCATAAAAGAATATAGCTAAAATTAATGTAATTAGATAAAATTCAATAATATTTTTCTCCAGCCCATTTATTAAACACCTAGTAAGTTCAAGGCACAGTGAAAAAAAAAATGAAAAAGAATAATATCTGCCCTCCAGGAACCTACAATTTAATACCATCATTTCAGTAAAGGAAAATGATCAACATCTGATGAATAACCAAATAAGGCAATAGCAAGTCCTTTAATCCAATCTAATTTGGACTCTTAGCTTATTAAATATGATAACTAATCTAAGAAATTAAAAGGGTATTATAGATGAACATCATCAAGTTAATGATGCCCAAGAGCTGGAGTGAAAAAGGATATACCAATTATCTTCAGATAAATTATTTATCACATAGAATCACAGAATCCTATAGCTGAAAGGATTTTTGAGGCCATCCAGTCTAGCTCATCGTCTTGAAGGATGAATCTCTTCTACTGCTTTAATACTTCAACACAACATTCCTGAGAAATGGCCTCCTCACTTGAACACATTCCTGAAGCATTCCGTTCCATTTCCCAACATTTCTTAATTATTAGGAAGTTCTTTCTTTGAATCAAAATTGGTCTTCTATAACTTACATTCGTTCATTATAGCTTTCCTCTTGAGTGAAGGATAATATTTCTAATTCTTCCTTCTTACGGGAAAATCCCTCCTCCCAATATTTAAAGACAACTGCCATGTTCTCAACCCATTCAAGTCTGTCCAAGTCTTCTTCCATCTAAAAATACTTGATTACTGAAACAGGCCCTTTAAAACCTGGTTTTGAGTCCTCTTACCATGGTAGTCACTTCCTTTGAAAAGGTTTCAGCAAGTCCATATCCTTTCTAATATATGCCAAGTTGGTTCTTACTAGAGTAATTAGAAAGGCACCAGGAATAACAACAATGCACATTTTTATAGTACATTAGGGTCTAAAAAAGGTTTTACCATTTTATAGATGAGGAAACTGAGGGTCTAAGAAGTGACTTGCCCAGGGTCATAAAGCTAACAAGTGTCCTAAGGCAAACTTTGAACCCAGTTTTCCTAATAAAACAATATATAAAAGAACCAGAAAAATCAATCTAAAGCACATGGGTATCTGATTGGTGAGTTTCTGGATATTCACTCTCATAAGGGTAGTTATGTTTCTCCCTACTGGGGACTAAAACATTGTTTTATGAACTACCCCCAAAGAGCAAATCTTTATGACAAGCATTTTCATTAATCCTATTATTTCAAGTAAAAATGAGCTAGAAAATACCCTCAGAGACATTTCACATTATTCAAATTCACCAAAATGCTCTTGTGGTAGTTTTTCTGCTTTTTAATAAGGGCTCCAATTTGGTTACCTTCTCCCAGAATTTTTCCAAGAGTCAGGAGATTCCGGTCAATCACAACATCTTCCAGTTTATCCTGTAATTCTTCACTGACCCCCAGACTTCTCACTGAAAGAGAAGCACACAGAGTAGTTGTCAACGTCACAAGGTTCTTTTTCAATCAGTCAATTCATTCAACAAGCATTTATTAAGTGCCTACTATGTGCCAAATAATCTGCCAGGGATGAAAAAAAGGGCATAAGATGGTCTGTACTCTTAAGGAGTTTACAATCTAATGGGGGAGACAACATGAGAAAATACCAACGTACAAATGAGATACATACAAGATAAATTGGAGATAATTGAGAAAGGGAAAGCACTACATTAAGGAGGACTCAGAAAGACTGATAAGGTCTAACAGTTTCCATGACACAGACATTGTTACCCAGAAATAATGCCAATGATAATTATCACAGTGGATTTTGTTACAACCCAGATGATTGGAATGAACTCCTTCAGGGCTCAGAAAGGTTATTCTCAATGTGAACAGCCTAACTGGCCACATGTTGGGCTATAACAATGTAGCAGTGAGTAAGGGAGGGGGGATAAAGAGGAAGCTTTCTTTTTGGCTTACTTGATTATACTATGATTAGTCAATGTATTTGTTAAGCACTTAGTAAAAAATGAAATGGAATCAAGTGTTTACTGTGTGCCAGTACTGTGATAAACCCTAGGAATGCAAACAGAAATGCGAGGTACTCCTTGCTCTCAGAGCTCAAATTCTAAATGGGTGAGACAATAAAGCTATGAGGTGAATGGAAAGGCCTGGTGTCTAGTATAATACTACAGGCATAAATGAAGTATAAGACACAGTCCCTGCCTATGAAGAGCTTACTTCTGGTGACATTAAAAAAAAAGACATAAAAAGAGTACTCAATATGTTCTTTTACTTCTTATATAACTTTGCACAAATAACCTCTTCAAGCCCCAGTTTCCTCATCAGCGAAATAAAAGTGGGTCCCTTCTAAAAGTTAAGAAGCAGCTAAATGATGCTGTGGATAGAACACTGGACCTGGAATCAGGAAGACAAGTGCAATTCTGGCTTCAGACACTTACTAGCCATGTGACCCTGGGCAAGTTACTTAACATCTGCTGGCCTGTTTTCTCAATTGTAAAACAAGGATCATAATAACACCTACCACCCCTGGATGTTGTGAAGATCAAATGAGATCATATTTGTAAAGTGCTTAGCACATGCTTGGCACATAGCACATACTTAATAAATGTTTGTTCCCTTCCTTCTAGCTATAAAGCTATGATTCTATCACTCCTCTACTCTGCCTCCACTACACACAGGGATCCTGTCATCGCTCTCACCCCAAAGTGACCCACTTCCATGTTCAAGGACTGTGAAACTCCTTTATTTGGTCATAATCTTTTATCTTTCATTCTCCCCCTACACTCCTCCTAAACCAGGGGTAGGGAACCTGCAGCCTCGAGGCCACATGTGGCTCTCTAGGTCCTCAAGTGCGGCCCTTTGCCTGAATCCAAACTTCACAGAACAAATTTGTTTGGATTCAGGCAAAGGGCCGCACTTGAGGACCTAAAGGGCCACATGTGGCCTCAAGGTTGCAGGTTCCCCACCTCTGTCCTAAACCTACTTTTCAACCTCACCATGACCTACAATTCCTCTATCTCTCTCTACTATCCTAAGTCATCACCTCTGTTTTGGCTACCTCTTCTTCTCTTCCCAGTCTCAATTCCTTGGAGAATCATTTCAATTCATCATTACCCTCTCCTCTCAAATCCCATTTCCTTGTCCTATTGTCAATCATGCCTTGACAAAACACAACCTTGGATTACCCTTGCCACCTGCCTCCTTTGTTCCTCTTCATGTACTCTCTCAGAACAGAATTAAAGGAAATCACAAAACCAGGCTAACTAGGTCCTCTATAAATTTATGTTAGCAATTTTCAACTAAGCCCCCAATGCAGCAAGGCAATCCTCCTACTTACTCACTCAGTGATTCCTATCTCAACACAGTGGTTGTTCCAAGCCCTTTCTTCTCTCCTTAAGCTTCCCATGTTACCCCTCTTCTCCCCTCCTCTTCATTTCACATCCCCCTGACTTTATCTCACACATCATTCTAGTCTCTGATGAGGAGGTGATTCTTTTGTTTGCCAAGTCCATCCCCCAACATGTACCCTTCATTCCATTCTCTCTCTTCTTCTTTAGAGATTCCCTCCTCGATAATCCCCACTCTCTTTCTAATCTTCAATCTCTTCCATTTAGTGTTTCCTTCTCTGCTACCTACAAACATGACCAGGTCTCACTCATCTTCCAAAAACTCTCACTGTATCTTAATGTACCCACTATCCATGATCTTATAACTCTTCTCCTTATCTCAGTTTAACCCCTCAAAAAAAGCCATCTACACTCAATGCCTCTACCCACTCTCTTCTCATTCTCTTCTAAACCCTCAGATATCTGGTTTGTGATATCATTCAACTGAAACTGCTCTCTCCAAAGTTACATGGCCTTATCTCAATCTTCATCCTTCTTGACCTCTCTGTAGTACTTAGCATTGTCAATCACACATTTCTCTCTGATACTCTCTTCACTCTACGTTTCCATGATGCTGTTCTCTAGTTATCCTCCTCTCTGTCTGTCTGTTCCTTCTCAGTCTCCCTTGTTGGATCCTTATCCAGGTCACACCCACAAATTGTGACTATCCCCCATGATTCTGTCCTATGGCCCTCTTCACTTCTTCTCCTTTTATATTATCTCATTTGATGATTTCATTAGCTTCCATTGGTTCAATTATCATCTCTATGCAGATGATTCCTAGATTTATATATCCATTCCTAATGCCTCTCATGAGCTCTTGGTTCAAATCACCAAATGTCTTTCAGACATCTTGAACCTGATGTCCTGTACACATCTCAAACTCAACATGTCCAAAGGAGAATTTGCTTTCTTTCTCCCCAAACTCCTCTCACTTTTGAATTTTCCTATTTGACATAATTCTTAAATTCTCATTCTTACTTACCCCATTTATCCAATCTGTTGCCAAGTCATGTCATTTTTTATATTCACAACATCTCTCATAGACATCGCCTTCTCTCCATTCATACAGATGCCACTCTAGGCCCTCATCACCTAACTTCTGGACTATTGCACTAGCCTTCTGGTTGGTCAACCTGCTTCAAGTCTCTCCCCACTCCAATCTATCCTACCAAAGTGATTTTCCTAAAGTGCAAATCTAACCATGTTACCCTCCTACTCAGTAAACTCCAATGCTTCCTATTACCTACAAGATCAAATATAAAATCCTGCATTTGATACATAAAGCCCTTACCATCTTGAACCCTTCCGACCTTTCCAGTTTCATTACTCTTTACTCCCCTCTGCATACTCTACAATCTAGCAATGCTGGAGTTCTTGCTGTTCCTTCAACATAATACTCCATCTCCTGACTCCAAGCCTTTTCACCGGCTGTCCCCCTTGCCTGGAATGCTCTCCCTCCTTACCATTCCCTCTTGACTTCTGGCTTCCTTCAAAACTCAGCTCAAGCCTCACTTTTTTCAAGAGGCTTTTCCCATTCCATTGATTCTCCTTCCCTGTGCCCTTCTGAGCTGTCGGCTAGTGTCTTTCCTCTGAGATAACCTTCCATTTATTCTCCATCTCACTTATATATGTGTGTGTGTATAGATAGATAGATAGATAGATAGATAGATGGATTTTTTTCATGGTGACTCTCTCACTGGAAAGTGAACTCCTTCAGGGCAAGAAACATTTTTTTTGTCTTTCTTTATATCCCCTGCATGAAGCACAGTGTCTGTCATATAGCAGGAGCTGAATAAATGCTTGTTGACTAAATGACGACTCTCTGTTTACCTATATACCCCATCGCTGCATTATGAAAGCCTTTTTACTAAAATGTGGAAGTATCATACGACATTTATGTGATTTCTTTGACATTATTTCAGAAGTAATTCACAACCACTGTGATCACATCCGCCTCTGCTCCAATTCTAATTAGATGAGAGCACTTTGAAAGTGCTCTAAGGAAAGAAGAAACCATCATTTTTACAAAAGACTCTAGTGCAGGGCTTCTTAAACTTTTTCTACTCATGACTTTTTTCACATTTCGACAGTGTTCATTGATGCTGCATGGGCATGATGGCATTGGCAGTGCAAAGCGTGCACTCTTTGTGTTCAGAACCAAGACCGCAGTAAAGTTGCATGATGCAACATGGGCAAACTGTGCCAGAAACACCTCAGATTCATTGCATGTTTGATTTTGAATTAATTTTTGGTCATTGCACATTGTGAAACCTTTTACTCTTGCCAAATTTTTCATAACCCCATATGGGGTCATGACCCACAGTTTAAATAGCATTGCTCTAGAGAACAAATAACATTCTGGGCTTTGAAAAATGTTACCAAGGAACCAATATTTCAAATAACGCTTGAGATTATGTCTTTTAGGTTATTCCTTTCAATTGAGCATTTGACATCCGACCCGGTTTTCTAGAGTTGGCCACTCTAATGCTTTAAGTTTCAGGGCTTCGTTCTATTGCTCTAGTTTTCTAGTTACTACAAGTCTATGCATATTAACCCATCACCTCCAGATCCAAGCCTAGCCAACTAGTTAAGAATGTGCAAGACAGAGGTGGATGATAAAGCCCTTACTCTGATTAGTTTTTATTTTTAGTGCTTGGAATTCACAGTACGGTAAACTACATCCAAGAACAGATTTCAACTGTCCACAATTTAGTAGAGAAGTCCTAGCAAGTTCTTCAAAGCACAAAGTGACTAATTGTCTCCCCTGGGATCCCACAGCCAGCAAGTATCAAAATCAGGTTCTAAACCCAAGTCTTCCTACCTCCAAGCTCAGCACTTTATTCATTTACTACACCACACTATTTACAGTTGTTCTTCCATTTAGTTGGTGTTTCTTAGAATCCCAACAGATTTGGGCCTTTGCCAGTCAGAAAACAATTTAAACTTCTTCCAAGGGAAAATGAAATATCAGTCAACTTACAAGTGAGTTCAATAGCTTGCCGAGAGAAAGATTTCTTTGGTTTACAATTTGCAACCAATTCTGAATCCTCCTCTGTGAAGGCATTCCTAAATTTAAAAAAAAAGATAGATATGATAATCCTTTTGAAAAACTGAATTCATAAAACAAATGTTAGTGTTAATCACCATGCCACCCATCCACTTGGACTATTTCCTTGGAACACTGGAGATGAAAGGGGAGTTTTTGCCTTATTTTGCTCAGAATCCAGCCTTCATTTTCAAACTTCCCTTCCAGTTCCCCTGTATTTGTTGTCTTCTCTCCTTAAAATGATATATGCTCTTTGATGGCAGAGCCTGTAGGTGCCTGTTTGTATTTTGTATCCCCAGTTTTGCACAGGGCCTGGTACTTGTTGTTGTTCAAGTCATTTTTTAGTTGTGTCCAACTCTTTGTGACCCCATTTGGGGTTTTCTTGGTAAAGATATCAGAGCAGTTTGTCATTTTACAGATGAAAAAACTCAGGCAAACATGGTTAAGTGACTTGCCCTGGGTCACATAGCTAGTGTCTGAGGCCAAATTTGAACCTATGAAAAGGAGTCTTCTTGACTCCAGGCCTGGCACTCTATCCACTGGTTCACCTATTATGGTACATACTAAGCACTTAATCAATGTTTAATCAAATGTGTTACTAATTATGACTGTTGCTCATCAAATTCTTCTTCTAAAAGAGAACAGTTTTCTTTTGTGTCATAGACCTTTTTGCAGTCTGGTGAAGTTTTTGGATCTTGTCTCAGAAAAATGTAATTAAATGAATAAAATAAAGTGCATTGGATTACAAAGGAAACCAATTATACTGAAACAATAATAAAAATTTCAAATCTAGTCTACAGACCCTAAGTTAATAACTCCTGTTTTAAAAGAACCTTTCCTAGGGAGAGGTAGAATGGGGTAAATTATCTCACAAAAAAACAGAAAAGAAAAGGCACTCACAGTGGAAGGGAAACAGGGGAAGGTGGGAGGGAATGAGTGAATCTTATTCTCATTGGATTTGGCTTAAGGAGGGAATAACATACACACTCAATTGGGTATGAAAATCTATCTTACTCTACAGGATAACGGGGGGGAAGGGGACAAGAAAGCAGGTGGATGATAGAGGGGAGGGCAGATTGGGAGAGGGGGTAATCAGAAGCAGACACTTTTTGAGGAGGGACAGGGTCAAAAGAAAGAATAGAATAAATGGGGGGCGGGATAGAATTAAGGAAAATATACTTAGTTTTTCACAACATGACTACTATGGAAGTGTTTTGCATAACTGCACATGTATAACCTGTGTTGAGTTGCTTGCCTTTTCAATGAGGGTGGGTGGGGAGGGAGGGAGCAAGGGAGAAAATTTGGAACCCAAAGTTTTAAAAACACGTTTTAAAAAAAAAAAGGTTTTCACATGCAACTGGGAAATAAGAAATACAGGAAATGGGATACAGAAATGTATCCTGACCTACAGGAAAATAGAAGGGGAAGGGGGTAAGAGAAGGGGGGGTGAGATAGAAGGGAAGGCAGACTAGGGGAAGGGGTATTTAGAATGCATGCCACCTTGGGGTAGGGGGAGGGGCGAGATGGGCGAAAATCTGGAACTCAAAATCTTGTGGAAGTGAATGTTGAAAACTAAAAATAAATAAATTGAAAAAAAAAAGGACAGGGAGGCCAAAAAAAAAAAAGATTCTAATAAATCCCCTTATAGACAAAATTATGTCAGTGACAGAGAACAATTCTTTTACATTTTGCAATCTTGTATATTCCTCTTAGGCCAAGTTAAAGAAAAGACAGATTTTGCTTGTTTTGCTTTCTTATTGGAGAAAGGGAGAGAAGGTAAATTTTTGTGAAAATAAAATAAAATTTAATCCTTAAATAAAAAAAAAGAACCTTTCCTCCCAAAGATAAACTGTATTTTCATTCTGTTAAAATTGTCTATTTTCTTTCCACTGACTTTCCAAGTGTACAATGCAATATTCAAACAACTTGAATTCCAGGAGTCAAAAAGAATGGAGAGTCATTGGTCAGGTCAAAAATCTTGGCTAAGCAATGAGTAACACCCCTCCCCCCAAAGCTTGTTCCTTCTACATCTAGTATTTTTGGTGATTTGTTCCTACAAACTAAAATATTAACACTATGTTGGTGCTGTGTCAAGAAGCTCCTGTGACCCATTAAGATATGAGTAGCACTTTATTTCTAAAGTTTTTTAAACATACATCATGATCATTTTAGAACAACTTTTTAAACTGGGATCCACAGACTTCCTTTCCATCCTCATCTCTCTCCATCACTTAGCACAGTGTCTGGCACATAGTAAATGCTTAATAATTTTTTCGAGAGTCTACCTGCCATGGATAGATTTCAGGGGATAAGTAAACTTGGATGGGAAAAAAGATTACATCTTTATTTTTATTAACCACTAATTGAAATTTAGCATTTCCTTTAATTGTGAGTGTAAGCAACAAAACATTATTTCAGAATGGAGGTGCATAGGCTTCACCAGGCTGCCACAGGGTCCATGATCTAAAAAAGGTTTAGAGGAACTTTATGGGCAGACAGACATGACAAATTTCCTTCTGAAAGAAGGAAGGAAATAGAATTGGAAAGGACAGCAAGTGAAGGAAGTAGCGAGGTATTTGTGAGCTTACTGGAAAGGGAAATCTAGCTTCCAACAGCAATTCAAGCCCTTGAGCACAGCCACTGGAGTGCCAAAAGGTATTAGACAACTACATTCCCTGCTTTTTGCCATGCATCCAGTCTTTCAACTAGCATTTCTCTGAGTATCTCCTGTGTGCAAGAATTTATTTGTCCTTTATTTCTCTGGTTTTGCATTTGCTGATTGTTCATTCTGGGTGACCTCAAAAAAAGAAATCTAATTATCATAAAGTGAGAAATATTACTTCTACACATCAGATAGCTGCTATGATGCTAAACTAGGAATTTCTGCCCAGTTGGAATAAAATACATTTTGTTCAACTACAAATTCTTAAGGGCTGTAAAACACAAGGGCCCCTACCCCTAAATCAATGACAGGTCCCTCCAGCAGAATGGCTTTTAAAAACGGGGTCTATTTTTGTTTTGTTTTTTCTTTGTATCCTCAGGTACATAGCACAATATTCTGCAAATGGTAGGTGCCTAACATATTCTTTTGGATTGTATTAGAGTTCAAGATCTCAACTTAAACTCAGTGATTTTTAGAGTTCAGAGGACCTCATAGATCCTGCAGCCCAACCTTTTCATTTTACAAATGCAGAAACTAAAGCCCAAGTGGTTACAGCCTGACCAGGGGTCAGACAGTGAGTGGCAGATCTGGGATTAGAAGCTATGTCTCACAACTTCCAATCCAGTGTGTTTTCTACTACACCACATTCTCAACTTTTGTGGGTCTTCTGCATATTACATGAAGATACAGAAAGAAACCAAAACATACTCAAGGAAGTTAGGACTCAAAAAATGAAAACACTAGGGATGTGCTCCAGTTAAATCATCTGTCCAAGAGACAGTTTTTTTTTTTCACTTTGTCAAACTACACACTCACTGTTCACATATTGAAATATGACATAAGTAAATCAGGGGTTCCCAAGTGGGTAACTGATAGCTACTAGTTAGTGTCTAAGTCATATTAAATGAGCATGGGCAGGCTGATTGTCACCATCATTTCTCATTCCCCATAGTTTTGGGGAATTCCAAGGGGAGGGAATGCCAGGGGAGAGAAGTATATGGCAGTACAGCTAGAGGTGGTGGGGAATGAATTTGGGTCCCCCATAACTCACTGTAATTTATTGATAACTCAACCTTTTTTCCTCCTTTCTTCCTCTATTAGTGAACATAAAACTTAAGGAAAATATTTTTTTAAAAGTTCTCATCAGGAAAAAGTTTGGGACCTCTACAGGAGATAAACTCTGGTTTTTGTAACAAAATTACTTAATTAAGATTTTTCTGGAAATTAATTATACATAAATCTAGGGCAGCTAGGTGGTGCAATGGATAGAGCATTGGACTTCGAATCAGAAAGACTCACGGTCATGAGTTCAAATCTGGCCTCAGATACTTACTAGCTTTGTAATCCTGGGCAAGTCATTTAGCCCTGTTTGCTTCAGTTCCTCATCTATGAAATGAGCTGGGGAAGGAAATGGCAAACCACTCCAGTATCTTTGCCAAGAAAACCCCAAATGCGGTCACCAAGAGTTGGACATGACTGAAATAACCCAACAACAACAACAAAAAAAAAACCCCACCTATATTAATGCCATTTTTGTATGATTTCTAATTAAAGGAACATGAATTGGGTTTTTGATCACTAAATAGTATTGGTACTATTGATTCTCTATCTCTGAGAGTGATTTTTAGGGTTGGCTTTCTACCAAAATCAATGGTACTAAATCACTGACAACAAAGTTAATATTTGGGAATCTGCCTAAATAAAGGCAGTTTAGTATGATTTGATAGACTGGTCAGCCTAAAGATTACTAAACCATAGACTACAGGATGATTTTGGCTCCATTAATTAGACTGGAAGCAGGAGCAGATCAAATTGACTAACCAATAAAGTATTAGTATGTAATATTTTTTTCTTTCTTAATTGGAGGGAAGGAGGAAGAGGGAAACAGAAATGATTAGAAAATTAATTTTAAAAAGATATATCATGTGATATCATTTGTTTTAATGTTAATTTTAACTCTGTAACTTACCCAAACTTTGTCTCTTGTAATCTCTTTCTAATGGCTAGAGATATATAAAGAATTAGCCCAATAAGAATAATTCCACAAAAGCATCCAAGGATGATTATGATTGGATCTATATTCCCAGGGGCTGGAGCTGAAGAAGGAGCCAAGTCTATTAAACCTACAAAACAAAGTCATTTTCAAATTAAAAATCCAAAATACCTTCAGTATTTTAACTAAGTAGAAAACAACAGTTAGTACTGCTCTCTCCTCCAGCCCTACATCTTCATCCTTTCAAAGGTTGGTGGTAATTACTACAAGAAGGAATGAACTTGCTCTGTTTGGCACCAGAGGGCAGAAATAAGACCAATGGAAGCTGCAAAGATGCAGATTTAGGCTTGATGTAAGGAAGAACTTTCAAACAATTTAAGCTATCCAAGAATGAAATGGGCTACCTCCAGAGATAGAGGGTCCTTCTCACTTTACTTGGTCTTTACTTGTCAGATGTATTATAGAAGAAATTCTTGGTCAAGTATGAATTCAACTCAGCAGCCTTGGAGATCCCTTCTAATGCTAAAGTTTTGTGGGTTTGTGTCTTGTTCACAGATTTTTTTCCATGCCAGGAAAATGTTGGACTGCTCATGCTTTTGAGTGTTCATGAAAACTCTTAAGGTTTTCATGTCCTCAATTGCCCTGGTTTGTAGTAATAATAGAAGGGGAAAACAAGCATCCAACTGTACTCAGGCTTTAATGAATCTATTCATTCGATCACAAAAGAATGAGCTGAAAGTACTTTAAAACTTTGTAAGCTTCAGAGTAAGGAATTTACCATGTGTGGTGAAGATAAGCACTCCTATATTCTTGGACTTCATATTAGTTAATCTGTACCTGGTTGCCAGTGTCTCTTGGTAAGTTCGGGGCATTATGGTTCTGTTTGGTAGGCACACATTTCTTACCTTTCCGACATGCACGACTTTTCTCAAATGAAATGGATGTCTCCTAAGTTTCTGAAACACTATTCCCATCTCATATCCCTCAAATCTACCAATCTCCTTAACTTCCTTAATTCTATTGAGGCCACCAGTATCCTTTCAATTACCTAGATTCACAAACTTGGAGTCATCCTTAATTCTCCATAGTTCTGCATATCTCATATCAGATCAGTTGCCAAGACTGTTAATCAGATCTCTTGAAGCCATTCCTTTCTTTGTACTCACAAGGCCACCACACCTTACTTTAGACCCTTAAAGACCTTTTATATGTGCTACTGAAACAGCCTCTTAATTGGTCTCCAGGCTTCCCTCCAATCCATCCTCCACAGAGTAGGGAAAATGTAAATTCCAAAACACAGGTTTCTGACGTCACTCCCTACTTAAGAAGCTAGAGTGTTTTCCTATTGCCTCTAGGCTAAAATACAAACTCTTCTGGTTGTCCTTTAAAGCCCTTACACAATCTGGTTGCAACCTCTTTCCATATTTATTGCTGTCCTTCACACATTGCTCTCCTAACAAACTGGCTTCTCTCTGTCTCTCTCTGTCTCTGTCTGTCTGTCTGCCTGTCTCTCTCTCCCTCCTCCCCTCTCAGAATCCCTAGCTCCCTTCAGGAATCAATTCAGGTACAATCTTCTATGTGAGGCCTTTCCTAATACTCTCATTTGTTAATGTTTTTGTTCTCCTCCCTTTCTGTGAATTACCTATGTACAGGTGGTTGCCTTTCTTTAGAATATCAGTTCCTAAAGGGAATTTTTGCATCCCTATAACCTGCCATAGTACTTTACATACAGTAGGTATTGAATTGCTAACTCTCCTCAGGCTCAGGATATGCCCCAGAATATAGAACCTGCAAAAAGGTTCTATTTTAATCCCCCCAAACAATGTTAAAGTGGGAAGGATGGGTAGATCCTCTTCCTTTTCCTTATTTCCCTAGGGAGAGTCAGATAATTCAGGCCTCTGTTCTTAGACTACTCCTGCAATCAGGTACAAAGATCACTTTTATAAAAGCAACCATCAGCAGAAAAGGACACTTCTCTCCCCACCCCAACCCCCACTGCCAGGAAAACATAAGCTGCTTGAGAGAAGATCCTGGTCATTTTATTCCCTTGTATTCCCAAGAACTAACACAATGCCTGGCATGTGGTAGATGATTAATACATGCTTACCGATTGATTAACATCACCACGCCTGAACAACACGTACAAATACAACACAATAACAATGGGCCTGGAGGCCAAACATTTAAACATATCCAGGACAGGTCAAAGCCAGAACAAAAGTAGTTCCACTAAACTGTTAAATCAGAGGCTGTTCACTAGGTCACCTGATGCAATATTAAGATTCCATGCCAGCAGAATTAAAAATAAGACTCCAAAACCACTGTGTGGGACCAGGCTCTTGAAGCAGTAAGCCAGGGGCACTCTGCAGAGCCTAATAGTGAGGGAGAGATTTTCCAATCTACTTGTCTATAGAGAGGATCACATTAAAATAAGCAATCCAAAGGCCATTTGACCTTTCCAGCAGTAGTACTGGAAGCAGTAATGGATTGAAGTGTCAAGTAGCATTTCAAAACCACCCCCAAAGGTAAATATTTGGATAGTTCTTCCCCTTCCCTGCTGAACTGAAAGATCCTGCCAATCCCCTCAATTCTTGTTTAGCAAGTTAAAATTCAGTGATCCCTCAGACTACTTTTCACCCTCTCAAGGAGTTAGAAAATTGAAGGTTCAGTAAAGTCAAAATTTCTATCACAAATGCATTTGTCTTCCTAATGAACTCATGTACCTCTGTAAAACTTGCAGAACAACCAGAGGCCATTTAAAAGTATGCTATCATGGTATTTTATAACTAGGAAAAATAAATAATTTTATAATTGCAAAAAAAGTACTTTGACACTGGCTTTAGTCTCAAATCATTCCGTAGGTCTATAACATATTTAATGACAGTCTGGTCACCACCTGTAATACCACTTCTTGGCAGCAAATAAGGATACTCAGTCTTACCATTAGCAGGAATGAATACATCCACTGGGTCACTGAAAGGCCCAATTCCCCCTTTAGTGATAACAGCAATCTTCACTGTATATGTGGTGTTAGTGGCTAACACAGAAATAAAAGCAATGCTGTCGTTCTGGTCAACTTCTTCAGAACGTTCCTGCTGAGAGACAAAAATCAACAAAACACTGATGTAGCACAATGGTGCCTTTCAAAGACTTCACAGATTTAGACCATCAGACCCAAACTCTTCATTTTCCAGATGAGAAAACTAAGGCCTAGTGAAGTTACGTGACTTCCCAACATCACTCAGAGACATAATTTGAACCTAGGATTCCAGTTCCAAAGCTGGGACTTTTCCCACTATTTCATGCTATAGGCAGGGTTGGCATCTTTTGTAGTTGTTGTTTTTCACTGTAAACATTACATAAGCAAGTTTATTTCTTTCTCCTCCATTTTTAGAAATAAAGCTTTTCCACTGCATGTAGTAAGGCCATTTTGATGCAATAATGAATTTCTAAAATACAGGGAATGATGACTCATAGAATTTAGAGCTTTAATGGGTCTTAGGGATTGCCTAGTGAATAGATTCTAGTACTAATCCTTCATTTTACAGATGTAAGAAAGTGTGCGCATGTGGGGAGGGGGGGAAGGAAAGGTGAGAGGGTGGAATGACTGGGCTTGCCTTAAGTCACACAAACGGTAAAAATAAGGAAGCATGGATCTGAACCCAGGATCTCTGTTACTGAGTTTTCCACTCACTCTATTACGCATGGTTGCCTTTCTCCAAGAACTCAGCCAAGATTAAGTGATTACACAAGGTCTCTCTCTCTCTGTGTATCTCTCTTTTTCCCCCTCTCTTTCTATCACTGTCTCTCTCCTCCCTTCTCTTCCTTTCCCCTCAAGTATTACTTCAGGAGACCTTCAATTTGAATAACTTTTTACATGGCTTAGGGAGCCTGGGAATCAGAGGCTAACCTTTTCAGGGGAATGTTCAGCAGGAGCAGAACAGGGACAACTTTTTTTTCACCCGAGTACAAAATTAACCATAATTTGGAGCTGGGTATTGCTAGAAAAGGCATAGGGTAGCAAAAACTTGAACCTTGAAACAGGACTCTACCTCTGGATGTAGGAGCCTTGGTTTCACGCCACAAAAGGGAGTCCTTTTTTTTTTTCTAAGGAGAAAGCAGTATTTAGGGCACCTAGCTGACAATATTGGAGGCTGCTGAAGCCAAATACAGACAGAATGACTTCCATGGCACTCATATTCTCATGCCCTTCAGTCCTATGCCAGTCACTTGTCCTGGTAATTTTGCAGGCTAAAGTTCCACCCTGTCTATAAGGAAAGGACAACCACGTCATTCATGTCTAAAGGAAAATACGTGCCAGTCAGCCAAAGTGTTTTCCTGGTTCTAAACTGGTAGCAATTGTCAGGAACCTAAAATATACAACTAAGAGGTTACTAAAAAAAAAAAGTGTCATCATAGAAACGCTTCATTTTTCTTACCTCAAAGTGCTTTGAGCTCATATTAAAATACTTCTAACCTACATGCTAGACACTGTGCTCAGTATTTTACAAATAATTATCTCATTTGATCTTCACAGCAACCCTGGGAAATAGGTGCTATTATTATCCCCCTTTTGACAGTTGAGGAAACTGAGGTAGATTGAGGTTAAGTGACTCGCCCAGGGTCACAAAGCTAGGAAAGTGTCTAAGGCCAGATTTAAATTTAAGTCTTCCTGACTGCAGGTCCAGCACTTCATCCCTGATGCATAGGCAAATTCATAGCAAATAGCTCTAATGTGCCCTGGTAATTAATCAATCAAAAAGCATTTATTAAATAACTACAAGTACTCTACTGGCTGACTCCACAGAAGATCAAGACTGTGCCAGGATAAGCTGAGCACTTGAAGTCTCATCACCACGCTGATTGATTCAGCTTTTGACAGCCAACACCTTTTCCACTCACCCACCCTCTCCCTTCTGATGGGGGAGAGGAAGCGGTCTGGTTTCTGGTTCAGGCATTTTTCAGTCCTGTCTGACTCTTCGTGACCCCATTTGGGGTTTTCTTAGCAAAGATACCGGAGTGGTTTGCCATTTCCTTCTCCAGCTCATTGTACCGATGAGGAAACTGAGGCAGGGGTTAAGTGACTTGCTCAGGGTCACACAACTAGTAAGTGTCTGAAGCCAGATTTGAACTCAGTAAGATGAGTCTTCTTGACTTCAGGTCTGGCGCTGTATCCACTGTGGGATAGCAGAGCAATAAACTCCTAAAACCTTCCTCTCTAGAGGACTTGAAACTTTCCAGGTAGCTCTTTATTTGACATCGGAGGCTCTGCTTGGTTTTGACTCCTCAGAACATCATCCCCTCCCCAGGTACTCCCTGGTGGTCTTCCCAGCTTTTCAGCTTCTTTTTGTGTATGGTCTTCTCCCATGAGATTGTAAGGTCCTCAAGGGAAGGAACTATTTCTTTCTTATTTTATATCCCCAGTACTTGGTACAGTGCCTGGCACATAGTAGGAGCTTAATACATGTTTATTGAATTGAATTGAAGTACCGTGTGCCAGGTGCTGTGTTAACTACTAGGACACAAAGACAAATGCAAAAACAGTGCCTGCCCTCATAGAACTTCTAGTTTAGCATGAGGACACAAGTACATAGAGAGGCCTTTAGAAAATCAGTCCAAGGGGATTTGTGGGGTTATGACAAATACTGTACCACAGGATCTGGAGGTGGAAGGGATCTTAGCATGTACTAGTCAAACTCTATCATTTGACCCATTAGGAAGCTGAGGCACCGCAAAGTTAAGTGACTTGTCCAAAGTCATATGAGTGCCCAGAGCCTGGATTTGGAACCAGGGCTCCATCCACTCTCCCTCACTGCCTCTATGATCTGTCTCTCTAAGATCCCCTTCATCTGGGTGCTACCCAAGCTTATATGCAACCCTGCCAAGAAGCTTCCTAAACAAAGGCTTAATATGTTGACTGGTCATTAGGCATTTTTTTATTCTCAGGAAAAATATCATTAAGTACAATCATTCTTTTTCTTCCCCTCCCCCCAACACATGCTGTCATTTCTTAAGCCTGAAGTTAGTCAGCCAAGCAGCTGAGAAAATGACTAGTGCTATTTTGCAGCTTACCAGTGAAAAACAACTAATTGTTGAAATATTATACAATAGGTACACTGACTAACAAGGAATACAGTAACCTCCCTTCCATCTGTTCACTAATCTCTGCATATATGGTGACAAAACAGTGCATTGTCTATGAGGGAAATCAGCACACAGCAAGAGGAAATCAGGGCACAGCTGCGATAGAACCAACTCAGAACCCACTAGCACCACAAACCTCTTAGCATGCTCTGTTGTAAATTATAGCTGAATCTGTTTTCCTCCCCTGCTAGATCATCAAGTCCTTGAGGACAGAGACTATTGTTGAATCGTTTCAGTTGCGTCTGACTCTTCATTATCTTATTTGGGGTTTTCTTGGCAAAGATACTGGAGTGGTTTGCCATTTCCTTCTCCAGCTCATTTAACAGATGAGAAAACTGAGGCAAACAGGGTTAAGTGACTTGCTTAAGGTCACACAACAAGTAAGTATTTAAAGCTGGATTTGAATTCAGGTCTTCCTGACTCCAGGTCTGGCACTCTATCCACTGCACCATCTAGGTACCCATTCAGTACATAGTTGGCACTTAATAAATGCTAGTGTTTTTTGCTGAAATACTTTTTAAATAAAATAACTCACATTTGTATAGCACTTTAGGTACAAGGCACCTTTCTGGCATGATAGATTTAGAGCTGGAAGTGACCTCAGAGGCCATCTAATTCAACCTCCTCGTTCTACAGATAAGAAAACTGAAGCCAAGCAAGGGGTACCTTGCCCAAGGTAGGAAGTAACATTGTGGGATATGAACCTATGTCCTCTGATTCCAAAGTCAGAACTCTATCCAGTGTACCACACTACCTCTCCTCACAACAGCCCCCTGTGGTAAGTTGTACAACTATCATAATCCCTAATTAACATTTAAGGAAACTGAGGGTCAGAAAGACTAAATGACTTGCTCATAATCACTCAGCTAGTAAGTATCTGAGGCAAGTTTTGAACTCCTGACACCAAGTGTATTCCTGAGGTGTCAAACAATGTGTACACCAGAGCTGTCAAATGCATGCAGCCTGCAGCATTCCCAAGTGCAACCAGAACCAGGTCAAAATGTAATTGTGAAATATTTAATGAAGTAAATAAAAATACAACAAAACAGAGATAACATTACATTTTAAAGCTCAGTCAATATATGACCTTTAAGGTTGTATGCATGGAATAGTGGCTGCCCTTTCAATCTGAATTTCACACCCCTGCATATGTTGTCTCTCATTTGACAGAGGAATCAAAAGCCTAATAAAAATTCAATTTAATTTTTTGATGCAATAATACATAGGGATTAAAGAGTGGGTTTGGAATAAGGAGGAGAATTAAAGTTACCTCAGCTCCTCTGATATTATTAACTATGAAAACCTAGGCAAGTTATTTTTCCATTTCAGTCTCTTGATCACAATCTGTAACACAGAACTTTACTACCTTGTAAGGAAGTTAATGGTTAGTCAATTGTGCGAGTACTTCTGAAGGGTTTGCAAAGCATTTTGGAAAATATTCCCATTCTCCATTACACTAACGGGGATGGAACCCTAATAACTGCTTGCAGTGTGATACTAAGAATGACAAATGGTGCACATTTCAGTAGAAATTGACCACCTTATGGTAGAAATGGCAATATTCATCAGAAAATTCCTTTAGATAAGTACAGATCCCCTTTCACTTTACTTTAAAAATACCATTTCCAAAAAAAGAAATCACACTGGTTTACATACAACTTTTTAGAAATGAGGCAATTACACTAATGATACAAGCCTAGATTCTCAATGCTCTATATTTAGTATTGTGTTGGGGAAAGAGAACTGGACTTAAAAGGAAGATTGGAATATATACACTACTTACCTCAGAGAGTTGCTGTAAGGAAAGCATTTTTTAAAACCTTAAAACACTACAGAAATGAGTAATGTTACCTACAGTGACAGAAGTATGAGGTATAATCAACACTAAGCTGCACAAAAAGACCCCTGCAGGCTACATATTGACTTAGAAAACTACATATTAACATTATCT